CACATTGTAGAATTATCATCCACAAGACAACTGCTATTTGATGCACAAGATCAACTTGAATTGCAAAGAAGTAAGCAAATGTGCAAAGGATATGATATGTATGGTTTTAGCAGAGTCTATAGATGAGTTGGAAGAGAAGATAGGGACACTATCTAGAATTAGTAAAATGAAGGATAGAGAAATTGAAGGTTTAAAGGCTAGGCTATACCCAAGAAATGAGCAAAACATGATCACTAGCACAAGTGAGTTACATGTAGATGTGTTAATGCACACTGGTTTACAGTTATAGAGTAGTAGTAGTAGTAGTAGTAGTAGTAGCTAGTATAATGTGCATGCACACAAAAGTTCAAAGCAGTTATTTATTATTTATAATTAGTAGAGTGGAGTGAATCTGAAGTGCGCCTTACCTCTCCATCAGCAGAGCAGTGTACAGATGTTCTAACAAAAATAGACAACAATCATCGACATGTTTACCTCAGTGATTCATCTTCTGATGTTGCTCAGTTGCTAATAGTACCTCTGATGCAGAAGAAAAGTGTTAGCAGCTTATATATTCTTTCAACTCCATTAACGTGTGACTTCATTGACCTTTTCGCATCTCAAATGTTAGATGATAATACATTGGAGAGTCTGTACCTCAATCACAATTCCATTGACGATGATGGGGTCATTACTCTAGTGCAGTCTCTTAAGTATAACAGGAAGCTCCAGTACTTATCTCTGGACTTTAATACTAAAATTACTTCACTCAGTGTTCCATCACTTGCTGAATTTATATGCATCAACTCCACATTGTCTGTTCTTCATGTTGCTAGCACTAGCATTGATGCTAAGGGAGTGCTGGAACTGGTTGATTCACTCAAGTCCAATGCAAGACTTGGAAAGATTGTGGTGGATCAGAAACACAAAGCATTATGCTCTCAATTTGTTGGTAAAACTAACAGACTAGACTTTTCCTATTCATCTACCACTGCTTATGAAAATACTGGCATTACCAAGTTTAAAAACCAATAGATCTATTTTTGTTTACATGTGGTTAATGTGTTATTGTATATGTTTAGTGTCAAATTAATTATCTTAATCAATTGATGTGTCTTTCTCTAGTCGTTTATAGGTATATGTCATAATTTCTAGGAATAATTATTATATTCATTGTATTGTTAGAGAAGAATTGCCTATTGTCTCATAATGATATTTATGCACATTCCTTCTCACAGCCAAAAGCTATATCAGCATTTCTCTCTGCCCTTATTTATACTCATTGCTTAGTTCAGTATACCATAGTTGCTTAAGTTATGGCCACTCGCAACACTTCTCCTTATGACGCTTTCTTGAATGAGAGACCATCTTCAGAGGAGCTAGCTCAAGTAGATTTGAAAGGTTTTAATGTGGTGTTAGGATATACTGAAGAAGCCTTCAGTGTTTTGCCCAATGAAGAAAAGATCAAGTTATGGCTCAGCAATGCTCCTAATGCTACCAGAAGGGTTTTACTGGGGAAGTTGGAAAGAGATTCAGCTAAAAAATATGAGGAAAGACTAAAGGAGATTTATGAAACAAGCTGTAAGTGATTATGATTAATCCTGCTTTGAGATTGATAGTCTGTGTTTATAGGTGTTGATCAGTCAAGGGAACCAAGTTTAGAACATGGGGAAATTGTTCCGGGTATGGTTGATGATGAACACTATATAGCCCAAGGTATAACAAATCAACATTACAAATTTGATAGATAAGTTACCTCTACAAATAATCTTTTAGCTACAGATAAGAACAATGATGGTGATTCAGTTCTGTCACCAGGAGTTAAGTTTCGAGGTGAATAATCATTTTCCTAAAGCATATGATTGATTTGATTATTATTAGAAGGACATGTATATAGGAGTGGTGCAAAAAAATGTAATACCATTATTGAACATCATGAAATGATGAAAGATAATTTTGAGGAAATTAATGTAAGATTTCAAACGATGATTTTTGAATTTCAAGATAGTTTTTCTGAGGCTGGCATACCAGTTGAGAAACTCTTGCATTTTCTTACGTGTTTCCCAAATCTTAAAGATCAATTGGAGCAGCTTACGGAGCCACGAAAAATTCGTGACATTATAGAAGTGCTAAAGACAGAGTGCAGTATCGTCAATGTAAAGCCTTTTGAAACATTGGCACGTTCATTTAATGTGGAAAAGGCATCAAAGGTTGTCAGGGACTACAAAAAAGCAGTTACTGAGTTTCGAAAATCAGTATGTCAATATTGTCACTTTGACCAAGAAGTACAGCAAAAAAGTGATGGCCGCCTTAAAGCAGCATTTGTTATGAGTTGGGATGCAAAAGATATCCTTGATGTTCTTAGGGAGTTGAAAAATTGTCATATTCAAGTTGGGCGCAGTATAACTAATCGATCTATAGTAACCTGTGAATGCCCTGTTACTGACATTGTATTACTGATAGCATTCATTCTTGAGAAAATAAAGATTTTGAAAGAAAGAGGATTAAAAGAATTTTTAGTGGGAAAGTGCACCATTTGGGACAGCACAGTTGATGAGGTAAAGAGACCACTGCTTGTATTTGAAAATTATTATATGTATAGTTTTTGTCAGTTATTATGAAAGAAAAGAACAAAGAAGGTAATTAAGATTTGACATTGTATACTTTCAAAGCTACATGCACCAGTCAATTGATAACTTATTATTATTATACTTGCACTCATTTTAGGTTTTCAGAAAGAAATAGCATCCCTGAAAGAACAGTTGGCTGCTAGAGACAGGCAAATAGAAGAATTTCAAACACTTCAAGGCTCACAATTATCAAGTAATCATGCCCACATAATTCACCTATGATACCTTATACACTTGCACTCATAGAAATAACATCCCTAAAAAAACAGTTGGCTACTAGAGACAGGCAAATAGAAGAATTGCAGACACTTCAAGGCTCACAATCATCAGGTAATCAATAGTTAATATTTAATCTACCCACATGTATAATGGATCTATGATACTCAATGCATGCACTTGCACTCATATTAGAATTAGCATCCCTGAAAGAACAGCTAGCTGCTGGAGAGAAGCAAATAGAAGAATTGCTGACAATTCAAGGCTCACAATCATCAGGTAATCAATCTATGATTGTCATAATTCTATATAGTACTTACATGTACATGCATGAATTTAGTGTCTAATAATGAGATGGTAACATTGCAAAAGATGAGTAAAATGAAGGATCGTGAGATTGAGGATTTAAAAGCTGCTTTAAAGAAGGCATTGAACCAAAATTCAACTAACCATGAAGCAATGGCAGGTAAAAATTATTATATTTCTTCTTATTTGAACAATCAACCTATTATAGGCCAAATTGAGTGGCACAGTAGTGAGGTTCAGCTCACTTCTCCATCAGAACAACAGTGCTCAGAAGTTCTTGCAAAACTGCAGGATAAGCATCAACAGGTTTATCTCAGAGAGTCATCTTCCAGCATTGCAGGATTGCTAATCCCACCTTTGTTGCAGAGGAAAACTGTTCGATGTCTTTACATTTTTTCAACCCCACTGACACATGATTTTATTTGCTCCTTATCATCACAAGTTTCAAATAACAATACAATAGAGAGTCTATGGCTGACTAACAACACTATCAGTGATGATGGTGTTATCACACTTGCTCAGTCACTAAAGCATAATACTCATCTTCGTTACTTATCACTTGGTTACAATCCTGGAATTACTTCAGCCTGTGCACAGTCTCTAGCTGAACTTTTAACTATCAATCGCTCACTTACTGTCCTTTATCTTTCTCGCACTAAAATTGATACTGAGGGAGTATTGCAATTAGTAAAGTCTCTAAAGAGTAATGATACGCTTGGAAAACTCATATTGGATGAAAAGCACAAACAAGCATGCTCTGATCAATTCATTTCTAAAATGAATAAGCTAGACTTTTCGTATAAATATGCTGATGGAACTCATTTTTAATTTTGATATGATTTTGTAGTACCTACTGATGTATAGTTGCATGTTGGCAATTTGTATTTTTATAGTCGAACCTTTGATATGTGATTGATTGAAAATTGTGTCATTGGGTGTGGCAATAATAAACAAAATGGCTCAACTCAAAGAAAGATCTTTCAGCGCTTTCTTGTTCTCTACTCCTCTTCTTCCTGAGCTACTAGAACACATTGATGTTGGTAGTAAGTGGTATCTCCTGGGTACATTATTATACGTAGAACAAAAG